AAAAGAAAAAAACAAACGAAACAAAAAACCACCCAGTCTCTTGTGGATGTATTCCACAAGAGTGTGACTTACCTGTAGCTGCTTTACAAAAAAGGCTTGCAGCAGAAAAATGTAATGTGATTAAAAAAGGGGAGGAGAAAAAATTTCACAAAAATATTACGGAAAAACTAAGTTGTGTATATGCAGGTGTAAACCCATCATATCCAGCCCTGCTCGGGGTGAGACGTGCTATTCACACCCCATACTAGGAGGAATGATGAGTTTCCTGAAACCCTGGCAAAGAGAGGGGTAAGGCTCATCCTCCTGCCACTTAAGCGTGGTGTGGAGAGAGCCCTGCAAGGGCATTTCAGTGCTCTCCAAGGTGGCTGTAATTAAGGATTACATCATGGGCAGAGGTGATTCGTGGGGAATGAAGATTACAGCTCTCGGAACAGAGCATGGCATCAGCTTTTACATGCTGATCGGGTGCTATACCCACTGAACTATGTTCTGCAATAGAGGTAAGCTTGAAAGCATCAAGCTGAGGTGTTTGATGTACAGAGCAGTCGTCCTGTTCTGTGAGTGTCTCGTTAGCCACGGAAGTGCTGCACACATCGTACGGAGAGAGCTTTATTTCATTTCTGTTTCCTTAGCCTAAAAAATGAAGCTGTATACATGGAAACCAAATACATTTCTCATGGACAAGAGAATAATAAAGGAGCATGTGTGTGAAAAGAAAGATAAGAGAAAGCACAGCATGTTCCTGCAGAATCTGGCAGCAGAAGGACAATGTGGAAGCAAAATAGTTTGCTGACAAACTAGAAAGACAAGGTTATTGATGCCTCTGAGAAAATACTCCCACAACAAACTGGAGCCTCAAATCCGCTTGGCAGACAGATGGCACTGGGATTGTTTGATACCTGATGGAAATGCTTAGCACTGACTTTTCCCATGCCAGCCGTTTTCACCACACTTATAAAAGTGTGTATCACAAGCTTTGTTCCCAAAGAGTTTTATATACCACCTGGGTTCTGCAGAAAACATCTGCTGAAACAGTTGTAAGCAAAACTTGAATAGTCTTTATTCCAAATTCTTTTCTTTGGGTCAGTCTGGTCTCTCACTCCAGTTGCTTTGGCAATGGCACCTGCACAAGGACAGCAAGTATTAGGAGAGGGAAGTTTCTCAGTCTTATTTCCCAAATCCATCTGGTTTAATACAAACCTTCAGAAACTAAAAAGATCAAAAATACAACAGCTGGGAGCTCTAAGGAGCTCTGCTGGGGAACTTCTTTTGTTTGTAATTCCCCACTTGCTGTTTGCAATTCTTAATGCCCAGGAAATCAATTTGCAAGCAATGAGTCCCACCATGGAGTGAACAAACACACAGCTCGGCTCAAGCAGTAAAACCTGATTTTAGAGATGGAGCTGAGGATATCGAGGCAAATAAGGAGTTACCACAATCCCATAGGCAAGTGAGAATAAAACCCTAATGCCCCAAATCCAAGCCCTTTGGCCCAGTGACAGAAGACCAAAAAAAAAAAACCACAAAACCAAAAAAACCACCAAACAAAAAACAACCCCAAACCCCCAACACATGTGCCCATTGCTTCACCTTTCCATGGGCTGTGATAGGAATTGTTATCTGGCCCATTTAGGATGGAGCATGAATTGATCCCTCCGCCCCAGACCCCACAGCCCTCACTTAGAGAAACCTCCTGAGGATTTTGGGGGGAATGGCTGGAGTTCACTGTTGCTCCCAGGCACCTGGCAGCACCCGGGTTTCTTAATCATTGCTGTGCAAAGTGAGGGCTGTGCCCAGCAGAGCACCGGCACCATCATCCTCCATCTTCCTTCCTGAGAGGAGGGGAGGCAGCAGATCCCGTGGCAATGACGGACCACCCTGACGTCACAAGCACCATCTTAGCCTGTACAGATAAACCGTGACCTTTACAAGAGCAGGTCTTGTCATCTTAGACATGGCACCAAAATACAAAACTTAGACTGGCTTAGAAAGGCCAGAAATGCCCTGAGGAGAGGCCCTGGCTGCAGCCAAGTCAGACTGGCCAGCAGAAACCACAGCCCCAAAACTTGGTTTGAGGGCAGAACGTTCACATTAAACCTGGACCAGGGTCACTGCAGGACCTGCCCCTGCCAAAATTTCAGGACAAACTACTCTCTCTGGAATTACTGAGGGAATAATTATTTCTGTGTAGGTATAAATGAAAGCAAAATGTGTCCCACTATATAAAAATGTCAATATTAAACAAAATATGAATTACAAAATACTACTTGACCATTTTTAATTGCAAAGGATTTTCTGTCCTCTTCCTCTAGCCTTAGCAACACAGATGCATCAACATCACTAGCTACAAATAGATCAGTCAGCTTTTAGTATTCTTGAATAATGGTACAATGCAAAGAAATACAACATTTCAGGAAAGCAAAAGGTTAAATCTGGGGGGCCAGCATTTTGAGAAGTGGCCCATGAATTTGATACCAAGTAAGGGCATCACCAAGAGGCAGTTATCACAGTTTGGGACTTTCCCCTCACACTAAAGCTTTTAATTTCATTTAAACCAGACCAACCAAAGGCAGTCCTGGACCACAACTGTACCGCAGACCCTTCTCGCTTCCCGCAGCCTTGGCCGGGCGGGTTTGCGGCAGCGCTGAAGGAGCACGGTTACTGACCGCGGGCAGCCCCGGGGCCTGAGCACCCACCGCGTCTGCAGGCAGGGGAGTGTGGCCAGCCTGTTACTGGAAACCCAGTTCCTGCCTCTGTCCAGTTTAAGTGACCTTGGGTAAGTTATTTTGCTGCCAATGTTTCAGTTTAAGCCTTTATCAAATGGGTCCAGTGACAGTGCTTTCTTGTGTAAAAGTAAGAGCTAAGAGGGCTGCCGGAAAGAGAAACATGGTTTTTATGGAGGACTGAGGACAGACTAACATGAAAAGTAATACCTGTTGCTCTCCTGAAGGAAACATCTTATAATAGCATATGCCTACCATAACTAATATGCTATTACTGGTATGCTAACATTGAGTTTCTGTGGGGTTTTTTACCTCCTGAGTGAATTTTCTTTCTTTCACCTGTATGGATGCAGACAGGGACGTGCGAGGCTGCAGCCTCAGTGCTTGCTGTCATTTCTCTGTGCAAGCCGTACCTTAGTGCTACCAGGGAAAACCACCACCTGCATCCCAGGAATGGCAGCCTGATGCAAAACGACAACGACACACAGCGTGCGGATGTGCTTGCAAGCCCCACCAAATGGCCGACGTTTCAAACAACAGCTCCGGAGCGCGCTGGGTGAATGCGGTTCCCTCCCCTTGCATCCATCGCTAAGCACTTACCGGTTTAAGATAAGCGACATTACTCTGACGAATGTCATTTAGTAGCTGATCTCTCGGGGTTATTTCAACGAGGGGAGGCGGCCTTCTCCTGGGAATTGGTTTAAGCGTTTTGATGACATCTTTGAGGTTGGTTTTCTCGGCAGGTTCCACATACTTTGGCACGGCGGGTTTGCGCTGAATCTTCTTCAGCTTGACCACTCTGAAGCTGACGGGCTTCTCTCTGTGTGGCTGCTCGGGGGACGGCTGCCTCGCGCTCTCCTGCCTTTTGCTCAGAGACACAGCCGCGGGGACGGGTGGTTTCGGGGCCTGTGGGGGTTCATGCATCCTTGGCTGGGGCAGTGGTCCCCCCAGCATTTCCCACATCCCAGGAGGCAACCCAAGTCCATTTTCCAGCATCGCTATCAACTCCCTCTGCTCTTTCATTTGCTGCTGCCTCTGCTCCTCTTGCCTCTTTTGCCTCTGCTTGTCCAGGTTTCTGCTGAGCAGGTTGGTCACCACCATCCTGGGCCCCGGCAGTTCGAAGTGGTACCCCATTTTAAGGAGGGTGGCATTGGCTTTCAGCAGCCTGGCGATCTCCATTTCTGCCTGGTGGCCCAGCATGCTCCGCTGGTTGTGAAAGCGCAGCTCCGTCAGCGTCTCGTTGTACTGCAAGCATCTCATGATAGCAACGATCCCTTTGCCAGAGATGAAATTGGAATCGATGTTCAGCGTGGTGATGCTCCTGTTCTCCCGCAGCATGTTAGCCAGCGCAAACGCCACATTGTCGTCGGCCCCCACGTTGGCCAAGCTGAATGTTTTTATGTTCTTATTCTTCTTCATGGCATTGACAAAGTCTATCAGCATTTCTTTGGGGACGTTTTCTATGTTGTTCAGGTTGAGCTCTTTCATGTCCGGGTTGTTTTTTCGGACTTTCTCCAAACTCTCTTCTAAATTGGTTTGATTTCCTGAAGGCCTGGCACTTAGCTTCATGAAGCTGGTATCCAGTGCTAACTTTTTGGGGATGTTTAATTTTGATATTTTCTTTTCATTTTCATTTGGCTTTTCTGTGATTTCTGCTGATTCTGTACCTGGTTTCTTACTTATCTGATCGTTGTGACGGTTCTCACTGGTGTAAGTCTCCTTCGTTTCCAATTCAGTCTCATCTTCCTCTTCCTCCTCCTCTTCATCATCTTCCTCTTCCTCCTCTGCTTCCTCATCCTCATCCTCCTCTCTCCCTTTATCACTTCCACCATTGTTTGTCTCCCCAAATTGTGTTCCTGAGTTGGACAAGTGCTCGTTTTTGTAATGTCTCTCTCTCCCCTCTGCTCCTGGCATCCTCCCGCCGGCCACCTCGCCGCTGCCGCCGGCCTTTCCTTCCGTCTCTGCAGCACTTCTCTGAGGAAGACAAAACCTCACAGCTGAAACAATCGAATGCAGCTTTGTTACATTAACTTTCTGCTCAAATAAACACGTAGCAGCTGGATTTAGATACCTCTATGCCCACACATTACAGAATAATCCTTAAAAGTGTCATTGCCTGTAAGTCAGGGCTGTGCTAGCTTGCTTGGGAACACAGGACCGATTGCTCTTAAAGCAGCTGCAAACCAGTTTCTCATCTTTGCCTATTAAATTAAATCCTGACAATTAAATCATGTACCTATTTAATGCTATGTTAAGGTGGTCCTTGAACCCTTCTGGGGGTTAACAGTTTCTGATCCAAGGTCTGTTTCTGGATTTTGTGTAATTTTTATTATTTCCATGACAAGAGAGAAAGTTTATTTCGTATGCCACAAACCATTGGAAATCAGTGTTAAACACTGGCTGTTTGCTCAGCCCAAGGAGGAGTGAAGAGGGCACATCACAACAACAGCGGAGTCACCCAGCACATGAGACAACAAAGCCGCCTGCTCTGGTACCTACCAGAGCATCACAGCTAAAGCAGCACGTCAAAGAAGATAAAGCAAAATATCAGCTCGGTTTTATTTCTGAGTCCAGAGATAGGAAACTGGACTCTGCACAGAGGTGTTGCAAGGCAGTGGGGCTTCTAGCATCAAAACAGAATTAGTTGCAAACTTCCACCATCTCCAGAGACCGTCCTAGCTGAGATTTTTTTTCAAGCATCTTTTTTGCAGCGGATCCTCCATCACTGAGAAATGCTAATAAAGCGCTAAGAAAGATCAAGATATTTTCCTAAAAGATTTGCACTAGTTCAGGCAGGGCAGTGTCATGGCTTGTGCTTCACCAAAAGTCAGACAAAACTGCCACAAAGTCACTTCTACTCTTCTGTTTGCTGTGGTAGTGGATGGGTTTAGTGCAGGGATCACCTGACCTGTTGTGAATGCAGCAGACAGCTCTACACTCAAATTCCAGCTTTAACCTCAGAAGTATTAAAAAAGATTGTTTCTTTGAGGGTAAGAGTATTGAGGGAGGGGAAAAACCCCACAGATTTCCCCCTGTCTCCAGAGACGGCCCATGAAACCTGCCCTGGGAAGTCCGTGATGTGCTGTGCTACTGTGTATTAGCAAAAACATTAGTGTTTAAAAAAAATAAAAATCAGTTACCTCAAATTCACTTGGATTCAAGTATGGATGTATTTCACCTGGCCAAGTTTCTGTTCTATTAACCTATTTTTAAGTGTGGCCCTCATCCTGAAAAATATCTAAGTATGACTGTAACTTTATTTCAAAGTCATACGGATAGTAGAATAAATTTAAGTACGGTATTGACAAGGGTTGGACTAGTTCATGGAGTTTGCATGCTTGGGTGTTAGTGAATGTTTCACATTGTTAAAATGCAGTGGTTTGGGTTTTTCTCCAGTATGACATTAAATTCTGTTAATTAATTACTTTAATACATATGATTAATGTAGTCTTCTATGGAAAAGCAATATGGTGGTGTTCCATATGCAAAGTCAAACAAATTTGAGTTACATCCTCCACACTGGTTTTATGACAATTTCTCAGTGACTTGCTTTACTGAAACAGAATTAGAATTTTCTTATATTAAAAAGCTTAAGTAAATACTTAAGAAAAACAATTAACAGATTACGAACCCTGACGTCAATCCAAGCTGGATCCTGACATTGCCAAAGCTTTTAGGATGAATTTAAATTTGTTTGCACCATACTTTACGCAAGGGATGGAAGCAGAGGCAGGTTAGTTATTAAAGCTATAAAATAGATCCCACAGCAGATGCATAATAAATATTTGTGATTTTTTGCTTGTTACCTCAGAGGGCAAGAGGGTGACGGGAACTCTCTCGTCCTCGAGCATGCGTCTGGATGCCTTCTGCCAGTACAGGTAGTCAACCAGGGACCTGTGGTCGAAGCTCCCCGTGGGGGGTTTCTCTGTTTGATCCCTCTGTATCATCCCAGTTGGGACTTCGGGGTCTGGGGCCATGACTTCCATCTCACTCTGCAGCTCCTTTAGCTCCTCAGGGGACAGGTTTGCCAGGATTTCATCTTCATCGATGTCCTCAGGACACACTTCTTCATCAGAGTTTTGGCTGAGTTCAGACATGTTCTTTCTTCTTTCCTTCCTCTATTGCTTTTTAAACCTAAAGAGAAAGATAAATTTTAAAGGTTTGTGGGTTTGGTTTTTTTTTTTTTTCTCACTAGCAGTACTTCATTCGGTTAAATCAACAACTTCATGTTTTGGTCATGAGCTGTGGCAGCTCTCAGTCTCAGTGTGGGAGACAGACCGTGCAGTAAGTCTATATTAAGCTGCACTTGGCTGGGTAAAGAGAATTTATGGCGATGCTGCCATGCTCCATTTTCAGCAACCTGTCAGCTGTGCAAACCCTTCTGACATTTCAGTGCAGCTGGTGCGTCCCCCATTGAGTAAGGCAGGAGACGGCCATTTTCTAGAGGATTCCTGGGGCGCTACGCCTTTCAGTGCTTCACCTCATGCTTGAATCGCCATAGGTGGGTGGAGTGACATTAGTGGTACCTGCGAGCTGTGCAGGTGAAATTCTGCACCGTGGGAAGAACCAGCACTCTGTATCCGTAATGTCTCAGCTATCTCAAAAGGGCCAGGGACTGCAGGCTCTTCACTGCCTTTAGCCAGGTCTAAACCCTGACTAAACATTGCAGGTGGGTTTGGTGTGAATGCAGCCATCACACAATTGATGAGCTCTCCCAGACACCAGATCCTCTTTAAGGTAAAACCCTCCAAGATGGAGAAAGGCTGGTGAACAGTCAGTACAACACACATCTTGTGTTTGGGGACAGGGGTCCATGCGGGGACAGGCACCAGCCCTTTGAACCAGCCTGAGCAGTGCCAGAGGGAGCATTTCCCTATAGCATTTCCCACAGCACATCCACGCCCTGCTGCCATCCAGTCTGCCCAGGGGCAATGCCAATGCCCTGTTTCTTGACTGGCCTATCTCTATCACAGACATTATTTGCACTGTCAACAGATCTTGGCTGACAGTTCATCTCAGGTTCATTCTTTTCCTAGCTTTTACCATTTTTTTTACAAAATTAATAAGCAACTACAAACATTTTCTTTGCTAATATTCATAGAACTGTTGTAACTATAGAAGATTACCTGAAATCCTTTTTTCATTGTGTCCATTCCAGCTAAGAAGTACCTCCTTCTTTGTTCAGAATATTTTATAGGCTTCTAAATTTACACAGCAAACCAGAAAGCCATATCTCCAACACCATTTTGCTCGTGGCTGCTTTGTAAAAGCAGAGTAGCATGGGTGGGTAATTTTTCCACTACGGTGCAGTTTCATTATGCCACAGTTCGGACTGTTTATTGGATTAGGAAGATTTCCCCTCATAATTTCAAATATTCTTTGCAGGGGGCATCGAATCAAATCCTCACCTTGCAACTGTGAATGCATCTTTCATAGGAAAGAACCCTGAGACAAGAGGCTGTGAAGCCAAGCCCCACCAATTTTTAAGCCATATTTCTCGTTACAGTCTCAACCACGCTCTGCAGGAGTCTACCAGCAGCAAAATAGTCTCTGCATGACGATGGTCTCTCTTTGCTGTGTTTTGTAACAGGAAACGTGGTGTTCAAAGCCCTGTTAACCTCTATTAAAAAGCCATTATCCAAAGGTCCTCATTTAATCAGTGCTGTTACACATCGGGGAAGAGGGCAAAAATTTAAGAACAAGATAAGTGGTAAAGGAAAAAATAACAAAAATGCAAGCCAAGAACTTAATGGCTCCATTTGCCCCTTTGGTATTTCAGGGGACATCCTTATTTTATATTATGCAGTAGCAAGCACAACAGCAGACCCACACATCAATCTATCTGGTCTAGCAGTTTTAACCCCCAGCGATTGCTGTCCATAATAGAGTCCATAAATGGTTTCCTGATGTTATCAAATAAATCAATGCTCTTCGGTAGCTGGTATGTTATTCTCCCAAACGATGCTGTTTGGGTCACAGAAGCTGTCTATTCAGTGGTTACTTATCGCTTGCTAATTTCTTGACTGTAAATAAAGCCCCTGGCCACCTTCTTGTATTTCCATGATCTTCAGCCAGGCCATCTCGGGCCATGGTCTTGTCAGATCTGCTAAGTTAAGTAGGGTCAAACCCATGAAGTCCTCTCGAGAAGGAAAACAGGGATACTGAGAACACTATCAGGTATTTGAAAAGCAAGTTTTCTTCTAAGTAGAAATATATCATTTGTCGATACCACGATTAGGAAACACTATACTTTTGGGAGCCATGTCTTCTCCGTCAGATGCAGAGCAAAGGGCTTCCTGGTGACATGGGTGTTAATCCCACAGATTTCCAAGGTGGGTATCACATTTTGCCTACTTTAGGTCTCTCCTCCATAAATTACCTCGAGTTCAGGATTCACTTCCTTTTCTAACATGTTGCTTAGTGTTTTGGTACACTGGAAACGGCACGTTAAGGCAACAAACGACACCCTCCAGGCTGGGGACACACCCATGGCCAAATCTAGAAGTCTTTTCCAAGGCAAAACTCCCATCTTCTTCCCAATAACATCTGCAGGTACTCCTTTCAGAGCTTTCCAAAATTATCACTCATTCCTCAACCTTAAGACGGGAAAGCCACTTCCATCGGTAGCACTTGCTATTTTCATGCCAATTTGACACTTGCACAGGAATCCCCGGACTAATAAGCTGCTGCACGAGGTGCTCTGTTACCAAACAGCAGCGAGCTGTGCCAGCACCTCTGCTCACAGCACAAGCAGAAGACAAGAGGTACCTGCAGTGATCACAAAGCGATCCCTATGGGTAGCAGCACAAAATTCATGCTAAGTAGGTACCTAACAACTGTTAAATGAAAGAACTTTAGGAGCAAACTGATAGAAGAAAAGGTCCGCCCTTAGTAAAGAACAATTCATACTTATTGCGTACTGTTTCTAAGGCAGGTACACGCATATGGATGAACTCTTGCATGAAACCCAGCAGGCTCTCATGCAGGATTGTTTCAATTCATTGATTTTTGTCATTCGTGCATTTCCTTCAAAACTTCCAACTTCTCTCTCTTGAAGGGTTGAGAAGTTTTTAACGCAAATATCAAGAGGGGCTGACCCTTGTGTCACCCTTTGACAGGAAGGCGGCCATCACACCATACTTCAAGTGCCTAAAACGTGTTCTATTTTTAAGGTAATTGATGGGACACATGCTGATGCCAAATGCTCAAGAGCAATTTCTATAATGTTGGCTTTCATTTTTTTTGCTTATAAACCCCACACATTTATTCCCCTCTGTTACCAATCCATGGCATTTCCAAGTGCCAAGGCATTAACTGGAACGAGTCGGAGAATGTGCCTGTGTAACATAACCTTGCATCGCTTTTAAGAAACTCGTAGGCTCGATGGGACGGTCTAAAATTGACAAACAGTAGCATACATCAAGTATGTCCAGCAATGCAGTGTAATGTAATATGGGGATTATAAAGGGTCAGATGATGGGATCTTAACAATAACAACCACTAAGTAACGAGAGCAATCATAGAGAGACACCCTGTGGGAAAAACACCGGGGATCATCTTGGGGGGGAAAAAACCCGAAACACCACACCTCCAAACTGTTACAGATATAAATATACCAGATTAAGTTTGTTGCTTAAATAGAGTAAGGACATCTGACTTTCGAAGTATTTGCTCAAGTCACTTGACAGGGAGCTGCAAAGTCAACCCCCCGTGTGAAGCGGCAGGCGCGGTGGCGGCTGGCATGGGGACGGGATGGAGCAGCGAGGACGGGGGCGCGAGCCCCTCACCCCTGCCCCAGCAGTCACCGAACCACTGCATCTCACTGCATCGAGGTCTGGCCGTTTCCTTCGCCTCCAAGAGGAGCAAACAGAGCTGCATCTCCTGTTTCAGTGGGACCTGGATGCCTCTAATTTGGCCCCAAAGAAGAACAGTGTGGGTTTTGTTTTGTTGTTTTTTTTTTTTTGTTTCCATTTTCAGAGAAGCCTGAAAGCAGTTACACTGGGTCCTCCCTATGCAGTAGGAAGCCACCTCTGTCATCATCCACATTCCTTATTACAGGGAAAAGAAAACATTAAAATGTGTAGGGAGAAAGGGGGAAGCATGGAGGGGACTTTGGTCATGCCAGAAATTAAGGAGAGAAAATTTCAGCCTGGGGCAGGGTGCTGACCCCCGCACTGGCGTGTCCAAAGCAGTCCCGCAGGGAAAAGCACAGGTGAGTCAGATGTGTATGTCTTGGTTTGCAGCAAGAAGGGTTAAATAATTAGCTGATGGATTTCTAAACCATTTCAGCTGTTTTAAACCATTTTAAAAAGATCATCCAAACCCTCATGATTTTGGGGCAGAAGACAGCTCCACATATGAATGTTGACAGTGACATTTAGCTGGTGAGAGGCTGAGGATAACACCGAGCGCAACTGAGCTGGTCCTGGGGTCTGGACTGACCCAGGGCAAACTTTTGCCCCATTCAGAGCCAAAATATGTTTCAAATTTCACCCTCGAAGCCCGAGTTTCTGTGCTCACTTGCCAATGAACAATGCTACGCCTCACCCGCCATCCCCCCTGCCAATATACATACACCTTTTTTTTTTTTACTGACCATGTTTTAAAGTGGCTTGAGCAGCACTCCCAGCACAACCAGAGGACACACGACGCCTCTTTGCACTGTGCTCATTTACAAAGCAGCAGCTCCGTGGCTACAGAAGGGAGTTTCTACTCCCAGATATCATTTATAGCACAATCACAGGCAAAACGCTGAAATACTCAGCACTAAAATACCAAGTTAGCAGGGACGTAACTACTTTCCCAGCTCATGTTATTTATGTGACATTGGCAAAGCACTTCCAAATACCTGAACATTTTCATCCCTGGGTGGTGGTTCGTTGCCTCATCTTCCCAAAGCACAGTGCTAACAGCTGCCAAGCAGATGAAAACCAGCCTGCGATGAATGAAGATGGGTCTGTGAGAGACTGCGAGCAATTTTGTTATTTTATGGGGAACAGGCGATTCATGAGGGGATGTTGAATGTCTGACCATAAGTTCAGGGACCGAGCTACAGCCCTGCCTGGGGCTTTTCACCAATAGGCAAAACCAAAGGGTG